ATTTATTTTTTAACATATAATGTCAATTTTTTATTAAAAGTATTTATTTAATAAATAAAATTTTGACTTAAAATATCAAAAAATTAATTTATTTTAATTTATAATTTAAAAATAATTCATCTCTATATTTTTTTTTAAAATAAATCTATTCATACTTCTCTTTACAAGATAGATTTGAACAATTTGCCACCATTATAAGGATATTTCCGAAGATCATCATCATTCATGGTGTAGACTGCAGTGCCATTGGCATCCATACAAAAGAAAGTTGGCTAAAACGAACTTTTAGCCCCTCACCTTATAAAATTGATAAGTTTTAACCCCAAACATTATAATATGACACTTTGAGCCATTTACCTTACAAAGTTGATAGGTTTTAACTCCTCACCTTACAAAATTGGTTGGTTTTAGCCCCTCACCTTATATTATGACACTTTTAGCCCCTTATCTGTATGAATTAAAGAAAATAACGCTTATTTAACATTAAGTTATAATATTCTATTAGTTTTATTATCTGACTGTCAATTTTGTTAACTGACTGTTAGTTCTGTTAGTCGACTGTTAGCATCCGTTAGTATTTCGTTAATGGAACTAACAAATAAAATTGAATTTAAATTTCATGTTTTTTATAACGGAATGCTAACGGATATTAACAGTTAACTAACAGAACTAATAAAACATTATAACCTGATGTTAAGTGAGTGCTATTTTCTTTAATTTGTATTGGTGATGAGCTAAAAATATCATAATATACGGTAAGAGTTAAAACCTACCAACTTTGTAAGGTGAGGGGTTAAAACTTATCAACTTGGTAAGATAAAGGGTTCAAACTGTTACATTATAAGGTGAAGGGTTAAAACCTACCAATTTTGTAAGGTGAGAGGCTAAATGTTGGTTTTTGCCAAGAAAGTTAGAGTACGCGGACGGTTGAAATGGAATCCTACCGACATACGGGAAAAGGATTCAGAGGAAAAGAGTACCTATTTCACAAGTTTTTGAAAAATGAAAAGGAAAAGAAGTACCTGAGTAAAATTCAAAAACAATGTTTGGGGTTTTTTTTTGGGGAAGAGAGGACTTGTAGCATAAAGAGTGAGACACCTGGAATTCCCGCATGGGGTGCGATAAGAACCCATTTTTCTTCATTCCTCTTCTACCATTAAATACCATCAACCTCATAATATATAAACACTAATTTCTACCCAACACAATAACTTCTGCCCAGTACAATATACAATAATTTCTGCCTAACACATTATAACTTCTACCTAACATATTAACTTTGATGGCTCAACATGCCATCTTGCATGATTTCAACAAAGCAATCATAGCCCACAACTAGCTAGGTTGGTGAAGCAAACTTCCACACAAAAATTCCATGGGTTCACACATGGGGTTGGACTTTCTTCCAACATTTGCTACCATTGTCTTGCAGCTTTGCTACCATTGTCTTGCAGCTTTGCTACCATTGTCTTGCAGCTTTGACAAAGCAAACTTCCACACAAAAAGTCCATGGGTTCACACATGGGGTTGGACTTTCTTCCAACATTTGCTACCATTGTCTTGCAGCTTTGCTACCATTGTCTTGCAGCTTTGACACCACAGCTCCAACAAACAAAACAGATCAGAGTTGCAAAACAAAATAACCGGGGACGGAAGGTAACGTGATTCTCTAGCAAAATGGCAGATGCACTTGTTTCTGCAGTCTTGGAGCAGCTAACAACAATCATCTTGGAGGAAGCAAGGCGAAAGGTGAGGCTAATAAAGGGTGCACAGGAGGAAATTGACAAGATGAAAAGCAATCTCAAGTCTGTCCGTGCTCTCCTTGATGATGCAGAGGAAAGGGGGAAGAGGGACAAAAGTATCAAACTTTGGTTACATCGACTCAAAGAAGCATCTCTTGACATTGAGGACGTGTTGGATGAGTGGAATACTGCACTTTTGAAGTGGAAAATGAATGAAGCTCAAAATGCTGTGTCTGTCCTCCAGAAAAAGGTGTGTCATTTTATCTCTCGTTTTTGCTTTCGACGAGTTGTTAAGCTCCATGGTGTTGCTGTGCAAATAAAAGAAATCAATGGAAGATTAGATGAGATTGCTAAACAGAAAGATAGGTATAGTTTTGTGTCGAGGGAAACTAGACAGCCTCAAATTCAACCAGAAAGAGAAACCACATCTTTCGTTGATGGTTCTGCCATCCATGGACGAGATGAGGTAAAGAAAAGGATAATTAGCCACTTGCTATGTGGAAGCAGTGAAGAGTCTAGTGACTTCCACCTCCAGACCATCTCTATAGTAGGGATGGGAGGTATTGGCAAGACAGCTCTTGCGCAAATCCTCTACAATGACGATCAAATTAAGGCACACTTTGACAAGAGGGTTTGGGTGTGTGTCTCTGATCTCTTTCATGAGGCCAGAGTTGCAAGAGCAATCATCATTGAACTTGAAGGTCTGAATCATACTGCGGTGTTTCTCTTAAACTCACTACCACTTCAGAGCCTCTTAAAAAGAATTTGTGATTCCTTAGGAGGAAAGAAATTCTTTCTGGTTTTAGATGATGTGTGGACAGAGGACGGTAATAGTTGGGATTCACTGAAACAGACTTTTAAACATGGAGCTCCTGGAAGTAGGATTTTGGTGACTACTCGCAAGGATACAGTTGTAGAGATGATGGAATCCTCCCATGTCTTCCGTCTAGAAGAGCTATCTCAAGAGGTGTGTTGGTCCATACTTAGCCAAATAGCATTCATCAATAGGGACAAGAAACAATGTTCAGATTTGAATGACATTGGGTGGAAGATTGCCGAGAAGTGTAAAGGACTGCCACTTGCTGCAAAGACCTTAGGGAGTTTGTTGCGGTATAAAAGAACAAGAGAAGAGTGGAGAGATGTTCTAGACAATGAAATATGGACATTAGAAATGGTACGGAAAGATATCTTTGCTCCTCTTTTGTTGAGTTATTATGATTTACCCTCAGTAATAAGACAATGCTTTTTGTATTGTGCTATCTTTCCAAAGGATTTTGAAATATGGAGGTGGAATGTAATCCAACATTGGATGGCTCAAGGTTATCTGAATTCTAGTAGAAATGTAGAGATGGAATTAGTGGGCAGAGAGTATTTTGATTATTTGGCAGCTCGCTCCTTCTTCCAAGATTTTGGAAGACTTGAAGATGGTAGCATATTTAAATGTAAGATGCATGACATGGTACATGACTTTGTCCTGTTTTTGACAGAAA